TCGGTCCCCACAGGCTGAGAAGTGCCGTCAGAGGACAAAGGCTACAAGGGCGGCCTGTGGGGACCTTCCTTCCATCTCAACCCAGATTCTGAAATGCATTGCTGGTGTCCTGCCTCCACCTACTTTCCCTCAGTCTGGAGGGGCTCCAGGCTGGGTCGTGTGGCTCGAAGAACCAGCACCCCCCCCCCCCGCCCCAAACCGTGACAGGAAAGCTAATGCCCGGGCTTCCTCTGACTTGTCTTGTGGAAAGAAATGCCTCTGTGGGCGACAGATGACCGAGGGCAACTTTGCTCTGCTCCCAGAGGTGTGGATGCCGCCCATCTAAGGCCTAAAGAAATCTTTACATAAAAAAAAGAGAGAGGGGGGAAAAAAAAAACCCTCTTAATTGGCACCTGGTATTGTCATGGCGCAGCTCCTGGCCTTCGCTGAAGTCAGGGCAAAAACGCAATCGTTGGCTTGAAGGGCCGAGCCCGTGATTGCGGTCAAGACCCATCTCTGATAAGCGCATCTCAGGAGGCCTGGGCCTGCCCAGTGACATAACTGGAGAGAAACGACTTACATAACACGCCACACACGCTCTTTTCCACGGGGCAGGCGACACCTGGGGGGCGTTTCATTTCCATCATTGCTTTTCTCACACGCGGTGCGTGAGCTTCCGGGAGCACAGAGCGAGGAGGGGGGGAGAGACGATGAACTGGAGGAAGTGGAAGGCCCCGTGGAGGACCAGGGTCAGGAGAGGAGAGGTTTAGGTAAGCAGGGGACAGCAGAGATAATGAAGGAACAGAAGAATCCGGAAGTTAAGAAACTTCTAAAAAGGAGAAAGACTTGTGAAAAGTGGGAAGTCAGCTCTTAAGATAAGACGTGGAGGCCAGTTGAGGAAGGGCCGTTGATAACGAGTCCTGATAAAGTGAAGCTGCCGTCTCCATTTGCAAACAAACATATACTAAAATTGGAACCATACAGAGAAGATTAGCACGGCCCCTGCGCAAGGATGACATGCAAATTCGTGAAGCGTTCCATATTTAAAAAAAAAAAAAGAAAAATAGAAAACAAACATATTTCATGGGCTGGAAATCCTAGCACCGGACAGCCCAAGCCCGGGCCAAGGTCTGGGGCACTTGACGGCCGCGCCCTCTCACTGCCATCCCTCGTGCTGTCGGCCACCCAGGGACCTTGCCGACCCAAGCGACACCAGCAGTCCTGTGTCTCCTCTCCCCTCCTCCTCATCCGTCAAAACTTACTCTTCCCTGGGTCTCACTATTTAGTAACCTTGAACTATCATTGGTTAACGAGTGATTTGAATCTATTTCACTTCACCGATTGATGAATGTGTCATCTGTTTGAGAAAATTAGCTATTAATAGCCACTTCTGGGCCCCTTGATAGCTACTGATTTATTTAATATCTCTGGATCTCCATTTCCTTTTAGTAAAGGAGATGGACCTAATAATACGTGAGAACGAGGTATTATTTGAATGGGGCTGTGAGTGAAAATGGAAGGGGAGGGCTCCAGGGCACCATACATACAAGGTGGGAGAGCAGGGAGGTTGTCTAAAGGAAATGAATGTAGCGACAAAATTGCCTGATAGACTGCAAGCTGAGCATAATTATGGTTGCATCCTCAAGGGGTAAGAAGAGCCATGCAACATGTCCCAGAGGGGCCTGGACTTCCTATTATGTTTATTAATCATCTTGATGAAAATGGAAAGTCTGCGTTGATTAAATTCACTAATGATCCTAAACTGAGCAGGGGAGTAAATTCCAGAAACGATGGATTTGTAAGGTGAGTGGTAATATTAATCAGCTCATCTTATGAAAAGGGTGGCAGTTAATGAAATGGGATTTGCCATAGATAATGGCGGTGAGGTATACCTGGGGGGGAATTATAATGAGCCTAGTTCCAAACTAGGAAGCTGTTATTTAGGAAATAATAATGGGAGGAGAGCTCCAAAGTGGAGAGTGAATAATAAATTAAAAACAAGTTTAAAATAAACTCTCATTATGGATCACAATTTCACTCTCAGCACTTTTGTGGGGGGCTGAGGGAGTGTAGAAGAACCTTAGGGTGCAGCTTCCACATTTTGCTGGTGGGGGAACTGGAACCCAGAGAGGTTAGGCTTCAGTCCCTAGTCAGGGTGGCAACCCCTGGCACACTCGTCACCACTCTGTGGTGACAGGAGATGGGCACTCCTGAGCAGGCCTCCGTGTCGTTTGAGAATCCTTCTCAATACGGCGCTCGAAGCCGGCTCTGATTACTCGCCTCCTGACGTGTTATCTTCTGCCATCTCACGCTTGGGTCAGAGAGCTAGACACTGACAGAGCCATGGCTAAAACCTAGATTTCCTGAGCTGTCTCTTCTGCTCTGTAAGTTCTAAACTGTCCGCAGCAACACTGACCTGAGCTTCACAACCGAAACACTCAGAAAGCAGAAAAGGCTTCTGAGCCCGGTTTCTCATCTCAGTTTCCACCATGTTGGTTTGAAGTCCTTGGACAACATTTAAAAAAATCTCTGAAGTTCTAAGTGTAGTAATGTTGGAAAGACACTCAGAAATAATAATTCAGAGGCAACGAGTTGTGTGCCTTTGGGGGAATAACATAAACCATTAAAAAAATTTTTACCAAATGCAAGTAATGAAAATTAAGCTTCTTTCACAAGCATTTGATAACATGAATAATCTTATTAAAAACTTCCTGGGACTTATATGTGTGTTTGTTTTGCTCTTTGGTGAGCAAAGTGAATTTACTTTGTGCAGAAGGAGCAGTGTGGTGTGTGTGTGTGGGGGGGGGGGGGGAGTCCTCCGTGTGCAGGGTCTGCTGAGCCCTGTTGCGGCCCCAGCCTAGGGAGGACGGGAGGGATGGAGGATTGGCCTCGGCAGAATTGGGAAGTTGGTGCAGTTGGCCCAGCCTTGGTTTCTTGTATCCTCCTTTCACACCCCTCTTCCCAGGAAGGCTCAGGCTGCTCCTCTGAGCACCAGTGGGGGGATTGGGGACCATCCCATAAGGCTGTGCTGTGTGTTACACAACCCTAGGGGGTGCCATTCCCTTTGCAAACTCTGCAGCTCGGCATGGCCAGCCCCCTTGCAGACCCTGAATCACCCTGATTCTCTGGGGCCTTTCCTCATCTCTTCCATCCTTCCGTGGAAATCTACCTGATACGTGTCTAGTCTGACTCACATCCACATGGTCACTGCCCACGAATTTCCAGAAGATCCACTCATTAGCCTAAGTGAATGACTCAAATAGAAAATTTTACAACGGGCCTGAAAGGCGCTCTCCTTACACATGCTCTTCAAAGGATCAGTGAATCCCCCACAGGATGAGTGAGAGGACATTCCCATGCTTGACCAGCCATAACCACACCCCATAACCACACCATTAGCTCCCAGGATCTCACAACTGTTTGATTTGTTCGGCCCTTTGCAGCTTGCAGAATCCTGTCCCACCGGGGTGAGTCCACCATGGTCTCCTGCTAAGAGCTCTGGAGCTGGATTCTGTTAAACTTGGTTTGAATCCCGTATCTGCCACTTGCTGGGCGTGAAGAGTTAAGCAAATTGCCTAAACTTTCCAAAGCTGTTTGTTCACATGCAGAATAGGTTTGTTGGTAAGATGAACGAGGGCAATGCACGTCAAGCATTTAGCAGTGCTTAGCAAACAGCCATCAATAAACGTTACCTACTGTCCTGGTTTTTATTTCACAGTACCCTGCGAGACAGGGGAGGGGGACAGTCTCGCCTGTGTCCCCAGAGGCCAAGCAAGTCAGAGATAAGGGATTTTTGCAAGGTATAAGTCACTACGTACCAAAGCTGGGTGCTAAATCTGTGCCATCTAGGTAAGATTCCGGTGTTCCTTCCACTGTTCCGTGTTCTCGTGGATCTCGTGCAACACTAACCACATATGTCCACATCCTCAGGCCGCATGGTTGCAGCATGCACGAGAGATATGTTAGCTGTTTTTTAACTGTCTACTTCTGTCATAAGATGTCTACGGATGCCCAGTACCCCCAGGCGATGACAAGCACAGGGTGTGAATTTTCTACCTTCAAGGTACAAGGCCACACCTCCAGCTTATGGGATGGCCAACTGAAGCCAAGTGAGCGTGGCCATGTGTCCTCGCTTCCAGAGCCTTCCCTGCCTACTTCATTACCCTTCACAGGCCCCCCCACTGACCGGGTCCATGATCTTCTTGCCAAGTAGACTAATGATTTTAGACATAAACAGAACCAGCCGCAGAACAGAGAAGCCCAGGCTCTGCCTAACTGCTTTAACCGCCGCCCTGTGTCTGTTAGTCTGAAAGCCCAAGGGAGGATCCAGATTTCATGGGCCCTGAGCTAATTCAATTTTGGAACCTGCTTTAAGGAAAGGAACAAAAACAGGAATTCAAAATTAGGTGTGGTAAAATGACAGAGATGGAGAGCAGGTTAGTAGTTGGCAGGGTTTAGGAATAGAGACGCATAAAAGGGCAACAGGAGGCATCCTTGTGATGGATACCTAAACCTGCAAATGGGATGGAATTACATAGAGCTCAATGCACAAATGAGCACATATAAAATTGATGAAATCCACATAAGGTCAGTGCATTGTATCCATGATAATTTTCTGGTTGTGATACTGTACTATAGTTTTGCAACCTTGGGGGAAGCTGGATGAAAGATACGTGGGCTCTCTCTGTATTGTATCTTCCAACTGCATGTGAGTCTACAATTATTCCAGAAACCTTCATTATTAAAAAGATGGATAACAGAATCAGATAATCTAAAAAAAAAAAAAAGAAAGAAAGAAAGAAAGAAATTAGGTACTGGGCTTTAGCAAGGCTTGTGACAGTGAGAGGCTTGAAGATGTAAGTTTCATTGGCTTAATGGTAAACCTATCTCTGGTCAAGAAGGCAGTAAACGGACAGAAGATGAGGCATTTTGATCCATGAGTGAATGTGTACACTTTTCAGGATTATCTGTTTTAACCACAAGCGTAGTCGCTTACTTTAAAATAAACAGAAGATACTTACCCACTTGTAGAGGTTGACTCCACTCACTCCAAAACCCCATCTGTCTGCACACAGAGCTCACTGCTGCCCTCACTTGAATGGAATACTTAGAAATATCATCAATTATCGAGATGAATGCATTCGTTGTTATTTTTTCTGTCTAAATGGGGGGGAAATTAGCATTATAAGAATTTCCAGACATATAATTTAAGTAATGTCAGTTATTAGAAGAGAAGGTCATATCTAAGTAAAGTGATCCACTGTTACCGGACTTGTTTAAAATCAATAGGGCATGCATTGATTAGTTTATTCTAGACTGCTTCAGTAAGGGTGTGTTGGCAGCTACCCTCTGGGGAAAGTGATCTTGTAACCAAAATAAATAAAAAGTCAATGGTAACATCTAGATGATTTATCTGGGTCCAGTTCTGTTTTCAGATGGAAAGACTAGAATGGCCCATAGTAGAATGCATAATCCTCCTCATCTCATCCCTCCATATTCTGAAGTCAATTACTAAATGATGTCACTTGGTTTCCAACCTATTTAGTAGGCATCAGCAAACTACAAATGTGTGGGCCAGTCTGGCCTGCAGCCTCTTTTTGTAGGGCCTGCAAGCCACGAATGGTTTATGTATCTCTCAATGATTGAAAAATATCAAAAGAGTATTTCATGACACGTGAAACTGAAATTTCAGTATCCACAAGTAAAGTTTTACTGGAACACACCCACGCCTATTTGTTTACATATTCTCTATGGCTGCTTCTGTTCCACAATGATAGAGCTGAGTAATTGTGATAGAAGCCATATGACCTGCTAAGCCTAAAATATCTGCCCATTACAAAAAAAAAAAAAAAAAGAAAGAAAAAATAGTTTGCTGATTCCTGATGTACAAGAATGTCTCGAACAACTGGAGCCAGGGGGCACCATGCACAGAGAAGAGGAAAGAGCAGAGTCCTTGAATCTAGGAAGAGCTGGGTTTGAATCCTATACTCCAAACTACCTGCAAGGCAAATTCATTGACCTCTCTGAGCCTCTGTTTTCTCACCTGTAAGATGGGAATAACGACACCTAAGCATGATGATTGAATTAAACCGAATTTTCTTTGTAATTCCAAGTTTAAGAATGTATTGGTTTGAATCCTGTGAAAACTGCCAATATTCAGCCCATTTTTGATGAGCAAAACCAGCAATGCTGGTTAGTGCAATACAATAATAGGCTCTTAATAAATGCCAGTCTGTCACAGGCAATTTAGCCTAGCATTGTCCAGTGTTAGAGTGAGGCTGTTTTCTCACAAATGAACCTTTCTCTCTTAACTCACTCTACTGCTCAATGTCCACACCATTCAGCTAATCCTTTACGCCCCAAACCAGAGATGTGTCCCTGACACTTGTCTCTTACATTCTTCTGGGTGTGTTTCTCCTTTACTCACCCTACCCCATGACCACAGCCTGATTTCTCTTGTTATCTTTTGTTTGGCCAGTTGCCACAGCCATTAACCCCAGATGCCTGTGTCCACTGGCCCTTCCACATGTGTCCAGCTTTCATGCTGCCACCAAAATTATTCTTTGATTTTGCAGATGCAGTCACAGTTCTGTATTGAATAAAACTCTTCAGTGGCTTTCAGTGCCTCTGGCAATGGTTTTAAAAAGAGAAATCACTCCTCTTTTTTTTTTAAGCAAAAATTTCCATTCTTGGAGAAGTACCATTGTAGGATCTAGACTTATTATTCCAATGTTGGCTTTATATCTAGGCCGACTCACTACCACTTGGCTGAAGGAGCCATGCTCTCTTAAGCCTTTGAGCTCTGCCTCGACCCCCTGTCACGAAAGTGTGGTTGGCAGACCGGTGTGTGGCAGGAGCGGTTTACTACTGATCCACAGTGAGGTAAACACAGAAATCGAGAAAACAGGTTTGGAGCTTTTGTAGCAATTTGACATTGCCGCGACATCCAATCCCATGATGATCGGGCTTCTCTCTGGGTATATTTGATTTTTCTAGCCTTTATTTTAACTGTATCTTACAAAAGAAGAATTAGAAATGAAATTAGAAATCTAATTAAAAATTAAAAATTTTTTTAAAAGCCAGACTTCCAGCATAGCTATTTTGGAGAAGCACTGGCTACAGAGGTTGGTCTCCTCTCAACAGGCAGGCTTCTACTCTCTACTTAATGATTTTGCTCCATTCCTCTCAGTGGGAGCCCTACACCCTAGACCTAGACCCTAGACCTCTGGGGCCCTTACTGTGAGGTGCTGAGTGGGTACACTAGACGAGGCCCCTTGATGGCAGAGACACTATTGTACTTCTCTTCATACTTCCCACGCACAAATCAATTTATCAATGTTGGTTGAACCAACTTGGATGGAATGGAATTTGCTTTCCCTACTATCCGTAAGAGGCGAGTTGTGATCCTAACTTCCCTGCGCTTGGCCAGCTTTATGACTTTGGGCAAGTGGCTTAATCTCTCTGCCTCACTTACCTGTGTAATGGGAATGATAGTTACTTAATGGAGTTACTGGGAGGATGGAATAAATGAGCATAATAAAGCTTGACAGGTAGCTGAGGCTTAATAAGCACAGGCTGGCTTCTCAGTTCCTTGTCCCTTGAACTTTGTGTTCTCTAGAGCTGAGGAGCATATTTCAGTTGTGGTGAAAGAAAAACATAAAATCTACCATCTTAACTATTTTTAAGTGTACAGCTCCACTGTGGTGAGAACATTCATTCACATTGTTTTGCAACCAGTTCCAGCACTCATATGGCCCACGATACTGAAACTCCACTCATTAAACAACAGCTCCCCACACCCCCTCCCCCAGCTCCTGGAAACCACCATTGTACTTTCTGTCTCTGAGTTTGACTACTCTTGGTATCTCATATACGTGCAATCCTACAATATTTGTCTTCTTGTGACTGGTTTATTTCACTTAATATGGGGTCCTCGAAGGCTCATCCAGGTTGTAGTCTGTGTCAGAATTCCCTTCCTTTTTAAGGTTGAATAATAGTGCATTGTATGGATATACCACATTTTGTTTATCCATTCATCATCTGTTGGAGGACACTCAAGTTGTTTCTTCCTTTGGGCTGTTGTGAATAATGCTGCTATGAACGTGAGAATGCAAATTTCTGCTTGAGACCCTGTTGACGATTCTTTTCGTTGTATGCCAGAAAGTGGAATTGTTGGATCACATGATAATCCTATTTATGATTTTTTTGAGAAACTACCATACTGTTTTCCATAGTGGCTGCAACATTTTATATTTGCACCAACAGTAGTGCTGATGAGTTTTTATCTGATCCTTTGTGTTATTTTGAAGCAAAAGTATGTCCTTTCAACACAAAAAGCCAGTAACATTTGGTTTATTTTTTATAAAACTTGGGTAAATATAAGTTATCTTTGACCTTGTTAGTTCCAAGCTATAACCACAGCTGTCACTGAATATCATTTTTAAAATATTTCAAAGAGAACGCTATCATCAAATATTGGAATGATCTGAAGAATTACCTGGAAATAATTTTTCCTTGTGTTATAAATTTTCACTTCATATTCAAAGCAGTGAATTGGAAAGGCAGAAACAGGTTTCTTCCACTGAATAGAAAGACCGCTTCCTTCAATCACTGCTGTGACATTCTCTGGAGGATTAATTCGATCTAGGTTAGAGAATGAAAGGTCAGTGGTCTGGGCTGATAAATCCAATCCACTCACACTCCTCAAGGCATTTCTAAGATACAATCTTCTCAAGTATCTACGCTCAGGCTTTAACTAACTGATCCTCAAGCCACAAGACCCCAGTGGCTGCAGATGACTCCTACATTACAGCACTGAAGAAATCTCTCCTATAATTTTAAAGGATTCCTATTCTAAATGGCATCAAATGGTTGAGTCCCCTTCCCCTTTAGCTCATTGCAAGACCCACCTCACTATCCCTGTTTCTCAAGCAGGACCAAACTAAGTAAACCTCATCCTGGAGAGAAATTGCCCTGGAGCTTCCACCCAGCCCTGCCTCTACCTAGCAGGTGTGGCTCTGGGTAATAATTTCCTCATTTGGAGCTTCAGTTTTGTTTCATGTTGTTTTGTTTGCTGCCTTTCAGGTTTGTTTGGGGGATGGAGTGGGAAGCCTCAATTTTCTCTTGCATAGAAAGATTGGATTGGGCCACATTTGTCTTTTTTTTTTTTTTAAGATTTTATTTATTTACTCATGAGAGACACACAGAGGCAGAGACCTAGGCAGAGGGAGAAGCAGGCTCCCTGCGAGGAGCCCAATGCGGGACTGCATCCCAGGACCCCAGGATCACGCATGTCCTGAACTGAAAGCAGATGCTCAACTGCTGAGCCACCCAGGGGTTGCTGGGGCACATTTGCCTTAACTTAGAATTCACGTTCTTTTCCCTGACTTATCACTGGATTGTCTTATAGCCTTGTGATATGGGTGGAAATTATTTCTAAGTGAGAGTTCTTGTCTTAGGTTATGTGACTTAGATCTCACAATTCATGAATCTTAGGGACAAACTAAGAATGGGACCTATTGGTTCCAGAGTCTGCCTAAGCAGAAAATATTTAACCAAGCATGTATTTCTTTTAGTAATATGAGGAATTGATCTCAAAGAAATGAAAATCACACAGGAGAATGAATTCCTGTGGTCTATACCGGATTGTGTCCATTTTCATATCAATAATGTTTCCTAGGTTGTCCTCAGTATTTTTTATTACCAATTCTCAGGAAAGTAACATTTTTAGATTATCTGAGAAATAGACTATTAAATAGAGTCACAAAACATCTTTAGTGAGATGGTTCTTTAAACAAAGTTATACTTTATTTGGTAGAGATATAGATAAGTCATGTCCCTTTAATATTTTGTATATTTATAATTATGCATAATCACCAGCCACTGTTGTGAGCACTGTATGGTTATAAACTCACTTAATTCTCACAAAAACCTTGTAGGAAGTGTGACTTTCTCCCCATTTCTTTCTGATGAGAAGACTGAGGTAAAGAGGAATGACCAGCTTGTCTACAGTCACTCAGCTAGTCAGTGGGGGAGGCAGAGTCCCAGCCCAGGCAGCCTGACTCCACAGCCCATGCTAATAAATATGCCATGATTGAAATCTTGAGCAGTTGTAACAAGAATGTGATGTGAAAGGCTCCTGATGAGTTTTATTAATACAAGTATCTAGGATGAAGGAGACTATTTCTATTTTGAGAACTGAGCAAATGAAACCTTAAATAATATGTTTAGATCTGAGGATCATATGCTGAGAGATACATTTTAGGATCACTCAAGAGACCAGAATGGCAGAAGATCCTAAGAGGAAAGCATGAGGAATTGAAGATGGGAAGCTTGGAGAAGAGAAATCTTAGGATGAGAAAGCTGGCTATCTTTGGCTAGCTCTGAGACCATCTTGTAGGGAAAGGGATGAGAATTATTTGGAGGTGTTACCAGTCCATCACAGGCCCAATGGGCAGAAAGTTCATGAAATGAGTCAGAGCTGAGAAAGGGCTGCTCCCTTCAGCAGTGAGTTCACACTCCCTGGTTCAGTGATTCTCACGTGGTAGACATTCTGTCCCCCATGGGACATTTAGAAATCTTGGGAGACATTTTGTTGTCATAGCTGGTGGGAGGAGGGTGCTACTGGTCTAGTAGGTAGAGACCAACGATGCTGCTAAAAATCCTGCAAGGCACAGGACAGCTCCTGCAAGACCATGTATCCAACCATAAATAGTGGTGCTGAGGTTGAGAGAGCTGACCCCCGGGGTTGTCAGGCAGGGGGACAGATGTTCACTTAGCATCGGAAAATTAGTCAAACTAGGGGATCCTTATAAACCCTTCCAATGCTGGGATCCTGCAATTTGGTGATTTCAGCTTTGAGTTACGTGTACCTTACCAATTTCATGAAGAGCAAATAGCTGATCAAAGGTCTTGATTATAGTATGCTTGCTCGAGCCCTTTACTTGCACTGCCAGTGAGTCACTCCCTCTGCTACTGATAAAAGTCCTCGGAAACCAGCATGCAATATTTCTCTTCAGGGTGTCTTTCCTGTACTCTTGGCATTCTTCAGTCATGGAGCCATACCTAAATTGAAGCACTCATAAGTTTTTAAGATTAGAGGAAATGATGCATTTGCATGAGCAAAAATAGGTACTCACCTGTAGTAGAGGAAATATTGTGTATCCTCCGGGGCATCCTTGCCAACCAGCCAGGTACAGTGCAGAGAGACTTGGTAGGGTCTTAAGGGATTAGAGTTATTGAATATTGTGTTTGTGGTACACGTTAAATTCATAATCGAGGTTCCGGGAGACCCTGGATAGTCAATAAGATGGTCAAAAATAAGAACAATATTGCCATGACAGCTTTTAAATTTGTACTTCCTCTGAAACTGTACTGAGGGGGAACATCTGACCATGACAAAGTAACTGTTATCACAAATGTATAGAAACCTATTTGCAGAGGGCTGGTTTACTGGGGGATGAAGCTAGGATTACGAAGCCTGAGTTTCTGGCATTAAAAAGCTTTCCAGCTACTTTGCGCTACAGGTGTGTGTGTGTGTGTGTGTGTGTGTGTGTGTGTGTGTGTGGCATATTTGTATGAACATTTAAGAGCAATACAAGAGATTGTCATTCAGAGCTTGGGGCCCAGCAACCTTGGTATTCTAATGCCACATGTTTCAATAACGAGCTGTGACACTTCTGGGCCTCAGTTTTTCCAACCAGAAATGGGAGAGTTGGGAGAGGAAGGTCTCTAGTGCCGCTTTCCAGCCTAGAATTGTGTGATTCATTAGGTCACACCCCAATGTGTCATGAATAACATAGATTGCCACTCTGGAGGAAGTGGGTCTGGCAACGCTGCAAAATAATAACACTTCTTTGGAGACTCTGTGCATAGTAGCATGTTGAAGTCCTCCTTAATGTGCAAAGATGTTAAGAGAATATTATGAATTTTCACCAAACGCATTATGTTCATTGCACCCAGGATTTCTGAAGATTATTTGACTGGAAACCTTGCTTTCATTACAAACCACATTGTCACCATGGATGCTGAGGCTTCGGAACATGTGTGGTGACAGGCCTTGTGCTTGCTAGGGAAGGGGAAAAAACTTTGGGCTGAGGAGCAGGGAAGATCTGATCAAAGTGGGAGCCTTTAGATTAAATATTGAAGGAAAGAAGTGGTCTTAGCTTCGTTTAAGTCAATCCTATGATCACATTTATCACTATCAGCCAGTGTAGTTCAAGGAGGAGAAGACAGACACCTTTTGTCTGCAGAGAAGTTCCACAAAAGGGACACTGGCTACTTTGTACGATTACCATGTACTATCAGACAGTTTGTTTCTATATATTCATATACAACAAACATATATAGATCTATGTGTATGCCTTGTACTCAATGTAGTGTCCATACACTAAATGACCAGACGTTCCATGCCCAGGTATGGTTTGGAGGTTCCTATAATGTTTGTCTCCCAAATCTCTTCCAAGGAATTATTTGGTATGAATTCAGTCTGATTCAAGGGAGAATTAATTTTTCATTCATGTCAGTGTATATTGGCATGGTCAGAGAATGATTAGAATTGCAGAAATGTAATTCTGAAAGATGCCATTACAGGTGTAGTCCTGTTATTACTTGAGACGTGGTAAAAGAGTTTAAGGTAAGCCACACAAAGGTCTGTATTTGTAATCTTGTCTTTTAACTTGGATTAGTCTCTGAACTTGGAATCAAGGTCATTGTGAATTGGCTGCTATGTGGTCTGGGCAGCATGTTATAATGATGACTGAACAGGAAGATCCTCACGGTGTTGCTCCCACCCATCGACACAGTTCAGGGGGTGTGTAGCCTTTTCACCCAGTGATATGACAAGGCACCGGTTGGATGATTACCCATGGGTCAAACTGGCCAAGACAATTGTTACCAGGTACACTCACATAACCTGGGACTTGGTGATCCTTCTCTCCTCTCTTTCCCCGGTGTGTGTGTGTGTGTGTGTGTGTGTGTGTGTGTGTGTGTGTGTGTGTGAGAGAGAGAGAGAGAGAGAGAGAGAGAGAGAGAGAGATTCCAAGGGTTTAATCACAAGTATCACCAATTCTACGTCTTAGAAAGTCTAATTTTCAGCAAAGGACAGTATAGACCGTGGATGCTATCTGTCCCCTTTCACCGTAGGTGGTTCGGTGTTGTGGCTTCTGTGAACCATCAGCAGCTCTCTTCAGTCTGGTATGAAAAGTCATAGAATGCAGAACTCCACAAACAGGACAGCAGGGAACCCTCCTTCTAAAGCATGCAGTGTTCATTCTCCTGGCTCAGTGAAGTGTGAGACCCTGTCCCTGCCCCCACCAGGTTTCTTTTCAGAGGTGGCAGCGTATAAATTTATTTATCTGTGAAAGATAATGTCATATGTGCCCAATGAATCACCCAGCCCATGAATGGATTTTGAGGAAGAAGAGTATCCTTCAGTGTATACGATGAAAAGTCAAAGGCCTTTGTAGAGGTGGTACAACTTGCTTTGGGCTTTGAAGTATGGGAAGGATTCAGAAAAGCAGTGAGAGATGAATCCAAGAAAGCAAAACCTCTAAGGCAAGAATGGGCTGCTGTGTGTGTGTATGGGGCGGGAGGGGGGAGGGGGTGTCAATGTTTAGCAATCTGACAAAGGCAGAGGAATCATGTAGGTCATGGTTGGAAAAGGTCTTAGCAATTACGAAAGACCTGATTGGCCTTGATTTTGCTGCTGACCCTCTGACTTTGGAGCCAGGGAGCGAGCAGTGTAAGCCACATCTGCAGAGATGCTCCAGCTGCAATAGGGTGGGTGGGTTAGGGCCCTAAGTGATCACAGCCTCAGTTAGGATGTCGATGAGGAGGAAAAACACTTGGCAGGAGCTGCTGACTGACTACGGAAAGGAAAAGCCACTTGGTTTTCCAAATTTGCCTCACCTGCAAGGTCAGGAATAAAATATAAGCCGATGAGGAGCCTGCCTTACCTGGTGGGGCTTTAAGCTCCGCAGAAACCCAGTCGCTTGGCAGGAGGGAGTGGCCATCCCATGGGATGGTCTGCACACTTGCTGAAAAGCCTTGATGAAGAACGGTTACGAGTTTGCTTTCAGTGTTTCTGGTTTCATACTAAAAATAAACCCCACAAGTCATGATACAGAAAAGGGAAAGAGCATCAAGAGAGTTATTTTAATCCAATAGGCATTTTCTTCCACTTTTTAAATGGCACATAAATAAAATGCAATGAACTAGTTAGACTAGGAAAAAAATAAGCACATGATTTCATGGGTACATATGTGCTTATCCTCAAACTCATCGAGTTATGTAAATATGTACAGCTTTTTACACACCATTCATACCTCAACAAAGATGAGTTTAAAAAATGAGCAAAAATAAATTACCCAATTCTAGCATTTGGGCATTAAAAGAAAATACAGTATAATAATAATGTAATAATTAATTCCTCAATGATACATGAACACATTCCTATAAAAACAAACAAAATACTATGATTAAGGCTCACACTCACTTCAACCATCATCTGTAGTCCCAGTCTCCTCCCCAGAGGTAAAAAATTACCGTATAAAGATAGGGGAAATTCTCGAGAATTCTGTATTGACTGAAAACATAGCTAATACTAATTGCTTTTCCCTTTATTTCATTTTACTGCACATCTCCTAGATATTAGGTGCTTTAAGATAATCCCTGCGGTAAGATACACACACACACACACACACACACACACACACACACACAGTGACTGGCCCAAGGTTGCCAAGTCAGAAAGTGGTTGAAATTGGCCTCTCTCTGGTTAGGCCTTCCACTGCCTCCCATTGTACTCTACTTCTCTCTTCTCTTTTTCTCTTTGCCTGTTTTAAAGTATTAGATCCAATTTACCCTCAAAGCCACTTAACTTTCTTTTCATAGTCAAAGAATCATGGCAAAGTTAAAATGTTCTGTGCTGCTATCAAATGCTAAACAACATGCATGGCACTAGCTTATGGTCATTTCAACAGACACACCCTACTCTTCCTCGGAGCTGAAGAGAAAACTCTCTTTTTTTTAATTTTTATTTATTTATTTATGATAGTCACACAGAGAGAGAGAGAGGCAGAGACACAGACAGAGGGAGAAGCAGGCTCCATGCACCGGGAGCCCGATGTGGGATTCGATCCCAGGTCTCCAGGATCGCGCCCTGGGCCAAAGGCAGGCGCCAAACCGCTGCGCCACCCAGGGATCCCAACAGAAAACTCTTGAGTCAATTTTGTGTGTGTGTGTGTGTGTGACTTAAAATTTCATTTGATAGGGAAAACGCAGTTAAAATTGACTCTAAATAAGGACAATTGTCAGAATAAATACTTACATCTTCTTCTTGTGGAGCATTTATTCTCACGTGATAGCCTAGTTCCACGTTCTTTGGTTCTTGATCAGGATTTGGTTCCCAACATAAAAGGACTTGGGCTAGACCAATAACTGTAATGGTGAAGTTGGTAGGTGGAAGAAGTAAAGCTGCTGATGAAAAGAAGCAACGTGATGTTCAATTTTACAGAGGCAGCACTTGTAAATTTTTAAAGTATGATTATTGTCTGTTGTAGGATGTTATGATTATTAGAAGGTATAGCAAAATGATTTCAGAAAAAGTTGACTTAAAACTGCTTTTAACTCATTATCTTTCTAACCCTGCCCAGACATTTACCTATAGCATATATAGGGGATTTTTTAGACTGAAACAATGAATATTTTCATTTGTCATTCATTATAACTGTAGTTTTCAAACTGAGGTCCACTATCTATAAAATTTACTGCAAAAACTTACTGGTTTGTGGCTAGAATTGTTTTTAATGACATGGAAGAAAATACAATTATTTCCTGAACCTCTTATTTCCACTACATGAATATACTTAAATATTTGTATATGCCTTGGTTCATGATGTAAAATTAATTTGTTTCTCATTATGAAACAATTTGTGAGCAAAACTACTTAGGCATTAATAGAAAAGAGGTTTTTTTAATGAACCACTCTGTTTTCAAAATAAAAGCTTTCTTCTAAATTACAAAATCAATGCCTGTTCATTTTAGAAATTTTGGAAAGCACAGGTGAGGAAAGAAAGAAAAAAGAAAAGTTACCTGTAATCCTGCAACTGAGAAGAGTGTTAATATGTGATATATGCATTATTTTTTGTTCATGGTTTATGTTGCTATAACTTAGTTTTTTTCCTAAAACTAGGATAATATTGTACAGATCATTATGAAACCGAATTTTACTTATTTACTACCTGGTTAGGATATTTCCATTGACCTTTAATTTTTAATACCTCCTACAACTCTGTGTCTATACTTGCCACATACAGGACTGGTAGGGCTCCGTCTATACTGCTCTGTCCATTATGGTAGCCACTGGCCATATATGGACTATTTAAATGTGAGCTAAACCAAATGTTCATTACCTTGGTTGCATGAGCCATATTCCAACTACTCTGTATTGACTTATGTGTAGTACCTACTACATTGTACAATGAGGATATAGAACAGTGTCCTTATCATAGAAAGTTCTCTCAGACAACACTACTATAGACCATGTGACAATTTTCTTTTCTTAGGTTCTGTCCTTATATGAAATCCATTGATCATAGTGTAAGGTTTTTATTCTTTGGCTGTGAGGACTTGTAATTAACTCCTTGCATGGAAGGGCAATCCACATGTGGTCATCAGCTTTAGCTTTATTCTATATTGCCCATATACCCACACTTGGAATATGACTCCCCATTGTAGGATAAAACTTGCATTCTAGTCAACTTTGCTTTCTTAAAGTACAGCATATTCAAAGAGTTTGTATTCTGATAAGAATAAATATTCTTCTTTTAAAAAACCCATACATAATTTCCTAGTTGAGGGATTATTTAGGAAAAAATAATGCTATATTTTTGTAATGTACTTTATTTTTTTTTAAAGATTTTATTTATTTACTCATGAGAGACACAGGGAGAGAGAGAGAGAGGCAGAGACACAGGCAGAGGGAGAAGCAGGCTCCATGCGGTGAACCCGACATGGGACTCAATCCTGGGTCTCCAGGATCAGGGCCTGGGCTGAAGGCAATGCTAAATTGCTGAGCCACTGGGCCTGCCCTGTAATGTACTTAAAAAAAAAAAAAAGAAATACTACTGAATTTAATAGATGGTACCTACATTTTTTATCAGGAAGTAAGTCTGCTTTCAGTATCACTGTAGCCCACAATAGAATCAGTAATGCAGGTGCCATGATAATCACATCCTACAAAAAACAAAAGGATGTAGATCCAAATAAACACCAGGTACAATTTTTAAGAAGAATTGGAAGCTACCATTTATTTATTTATTATTTATTATTTATTTATTTATTTATTTATTTATTTATTTATAAGATTTTATTTATTTATTCATGAGAGAGAGACACACAGAGTCTAGAGAGGCAGAGACACAGGCAGAGGGAGAAGCAGGCTCCACGCAGGGAGCCCGACATGGGACTCAATTCCCGGTCTCCAGGATCAGGCCCTGGGCTGAAGGTGGTGCTAAACCGCTGAGCCATCCAGGCTGCTCGGAAACTACCTTTTAATGTAAAATGTAGTCATTTTCCCATTTAACAGTTATGAACTATTATGTGCTAGAAATACAAATATGAACAAATCTTGGGTTTTAACATGTGGTTTCATAGTCTGAGGGGCAGGATGAAATGTAAATGAATAATTGTGGTCCAGTTAAACATAGTTGTAATAAAGCTGTGAATGGGGTACATTAGGAGCCAAGAGACTTCTGAATTGACTCCTGAAGAATTAACCAGAATTCTTTTTGTTGTTCTTTAAGATTTATTTATTTCAGAGGGGGGGAGAGAGAGAAAGAAAGAGAGAGAGTGAGCACATGCACTCAAGCAGTGGGGAGGGGCAGAAGGAGAGAGAGAGTCCCAAGCTGACTTGGCACTAAGCACAGAGCCCAAAGCGGGGCTCCATTTCATGACCCTGAGATCACCACCTGAGAGAAACCAAGAGTTGGTCAACTGAGCCATCCAGGCGCCCCTTAACTAGAGTTCTTGACCCACACAAAGTGGAATACCCAGTGAGGGCAAAGCCAGAAGAGCAAAACTTAAGTTGGAGAGGTCAGGTATTGAGCGGAAGACCAGAGATCTTTGAACTGTAAAAATTCGCGTCACTGCTAATCAGATTGAAAATAAGCACCATTACAATTTTCATTAAAAAGTACTTAAATGCGGACCAACATGACAAGAAGTTTAAATTAAAACAATTTTAATGTGGGAAAAAACTTTGTATCACAAACCTGGAATAAATTTATGACACTTTGAGTTTAGGAGGAGAGGTTGAATATTTTGATGAATCCAAATAGGCGCAAACCGTACAAGGAATTGAAAACATAGTTACAGATCTGAAGAAAATAAAAGCAGTCTTTCTACCTACTTGGGACAACTGAACAATGAAACTGAATCTAGAGTAATAATGTTATAATGACTTAGCTTGGCTCCTGGAAAGAGTGTGTGTTAATGTCAGCATCTTGTTTGACACATCATTGAAGGGAGTTGATCCCTTGTTAGGAATTATAGATTAGAAATCTTGAGTGTTTTCTGAAGATATTGAAAGGCATTTTAATATGAACTGGATTTTAAGGAATTTTTGTGTGCCACTGTGGCTTTTACCAAGCAGTTCCTCCTTAGTCTCTATGCACCTCCTGTGATTTAGTGGGGGACCCAAATGGTAATTAGCCAATTTACAATGAAGAAAAGGAGTCTAAAAGGTTAAATAATTTGCCAAAGATCAAACAACAATTGCCAAGATCAAACAATAAATAATGGAATTTAGACCCAATCTTGGATTTTTTCAACAGTAAAGCCTATGTTCTGTGCTAATTTTTTTTTGTTGTTGTTGTTCTGTGCTAATTTAAATGACTTCTAGTTTTCAGTTTAAAGAATTTATTTGAAAGGCGGTGACTGGCTGGCTCAGTTGGAAGAGCATGTGGCTCTTGATCTCAGGGCTATGAGTTTGAGCCCCACATTGGGTAAAGCGATTATTTAAAAACAAAATATCTTTTAAAAATTTAGTTAAATGAGTTGGTATTTGGTAAATATAATGTTGATAGAACTACAGAAATTGGGCTTTTGACTTAGTGTCAAGAAAAGAAATTCTTAATTATTATTTTTTAGCTTACTATTTAACCAACTTATTAACTCACTTTTCATAATGAAATCAGTAAAATATCACGGTATAGAAGATAGAAACATACAAATCATTCCAACTTCTTTTTCAAATATGCTTAGGTATTGCTAATCAGAATTGTGCTACTTTTGATAAAAATAATTTTATCTTACTCTCATCCCACAAAACTAAGAAGCAATTTTAAAAATGACAAGGACAATAAAAGCAGATATTTTAATACTTTAAAATTTTTCAACAAGGAAGAATGTTAACGAGTTAAATTAGTAATTTGCTGAGCCTGAGAAGCAAAGATACAAAAATAAAACCCAAAAAACCCTTAACAAATGACAACAAAGACAGTTTCCTCTGCAAGAAGGTCATGTCTTTGAAATGTCAGCATTTCCTGAAATGATGTTATATATGCTCTAACTTTGCACTAATTGTCATTAAGAGGGATTCTAGGTCACAAAAAAAAAATGCAAGATTGTTATTTCCTAGTGACTTGTACTGACTGACAAAGTAATTAGTATGTTATGACCAAATACCTATTTGTCCTTCACAGTTAAGTAATTGAAGAGATAAAACTGTTGAATATCTAAGTGGGGAGATAATTGAATATCTTACATAACCAAGCACCCTCCCCTAGAATTTGTTATGTATTCTGATGCTATAGCTATAGGAAATAGAATTATTTTTCATATTCAGTCACTCAAAACTTTTTCAATGATTAATTTTTTTGCTGTAAAACAGTCATATGCTTTTTTTCACATCTCATTGTGATATTTTCCATTCAAAAAGGTGATACAACAAACCATGTGTCTTGTAGACAACACAAGATACTCAAATGGAAGTCAAAATATTAGTGCGAATGACAGTTTTTTGTGAGCCAGATAAACTCCCCCCAAGCCAGATAAACTCCCCCTAAGACTGGAGCTTTGGCAGTTGACTCGTATTTTCTGTAATCCTGTTCATTTTCTGGTCTGTTCCCTAAAAACTCCTGCAGCCTTTGTCCATGGCCCCTTATATATCTGGTCCCAGGCATAGCAATTACCATTGCTGGAAAAACGACCCAAATCTCTTTGGGTCATGTTTTTAACCCAAAGATATATTGTTAAATAGATGTCAGCTGGGCAACCTTTCACTACCTCTCTAGCTTAAAAAAATATATCAAAATGATAATGTGATGAACTACCTCTCATGGCTGCCAATTAAAATTTACCAGAAAGCTATCAGGTTGTTAAAATAGTATTCAAATTGAGCAGAATGAAGCAAATATGGGCCTACTTACAATCATCACAAATACAAACTCAAGTCTTAGAGATATCATAGGCTTCTTGTTCATGTGACATTTCATCGAGGCTACCTAAATTTCCTCGAGTGCTCTATAAGAATCTGACTTCCAGTGTTATGTTGGAAATTTGGGAAAAAACAGGAGCACAACCTCTTGTACCATAGATGTATCTAGAAAGTTGGGTAAAGTTTTGGCAATTGGCAATGGATTTCCCCAGTGTTCCTAAGAATTTGTTAAATTCTACTGAAGTTCAGACTTAATATTTTCCCCTCTTTTTTTCTTTTCAACTTTTTTTTTCTTGCTGGGGGGCATTTGTTTTATAACCAAAGTTGTGCATGCAACCCTGTTTTTAGAGCGTTTTTGAGTCACTTGTGGTGACACCTAATTCCAGACTCAACCTCAGTGCATAGAAATTGAAAAGCAACTGAGAGGATTCATGCTCTGTTAGGCTCTTAAAAGTAAAGAGTTTACTTTTTTACTTCCTCTTTTTTTTCCTGTACTGTGTAATCAGCAATAAAACTCATCTCTTGAGGGATGAAAAATAAATAAATACACCAAGGTGTAAAATGCAAATGACACCTTTAGCACTTAGGTATGTTGCATTAACCCCCAAATGAAAAACTGTGCAGGCTTCCTAAAAGTATAAATGAGTTATAAGGACCACATAGAATGCATGCAATTTTTTTCTTACTATTCCTGGATTTTGGTTAATTTTCTGAAATAGTCATAAAATGTAACTCATGGATTCAAATTGTTGCCCTATACAGACATAAAATTATCTTCAGCCAAGGTAGAAATGGTGCCATCAACCTGAGCATTTGGAAGATGCAGGAAGAAGGACTTGGCTGCTAATCTCCCAATGGTGGTTAAATGTCTCCCAGCTAATCCCATATGATGAGACTTGCTATCCCCTGTGTGATCCCCCATTCCTGGGCATACCTGGATCTGGTGATCCTCTTGTTTCCGATGACCATGCTCAATAGCAGAGGGCCAGGACCAGATTCATCCTGTCTGTGCGTTTGGCTGCAGCCCCAACACCTAGCACTGTGTCAGGCACAGGGCAGATGCTAAATGTGCCCGGCCCTGGAAAGAAGAGAAGCAAATTAATACAGTAGCATACCAAGTCCAGCTCGGTAGGGTAAAACCTAGCATGGGGACGAAGAGGCCAGAGCACAGCAGGCTGGGAGCATATTAACAAGCCTGGTCCGTTTGGTGGGACGTGTGATACATTTGGTACCTTGCCTAAAAATTTCCCCAAGTAGCAGTTCAAGTAATGAAAACAAATGAGGTGATTTGATTTCCAAATCTTTATTGTGTTTTGAAGTGCAAACTTTAAATGAACAAATAGCTACATACATTAATATATTTTTCAATAACTACAAAAGAGCACATAACCTTTCATACAAAATAAAAATTGTACCAGGTAATGAAATTTTTGGCATGATAATCCATTAAATTGAGTATCAAATATATTAATCAATATGGCCATAAAAGTGGTCACTTTCCATGTGTTTATGAATGTTAGGCTCGTGGGGGATTGAGGGATTTTTGTTTTTCTTTCACTTTTTAAATTTTTTCATCCATTTCTCCTATGTATATAAAAAGAAATTTATGTTGCTTTGGGCAAATAATAAAATCAAGTGAGATATTTTAGCTATTTATATTTTAGATACTTCAAATTATTGTACATCTCATGTCAGGTCAAATAATCTTGAAAATCCCAGAACCCCCAGGAGAAACAAAAAAGTGGAATGCCTTCAGTTAGAAGCAATGCAATCATCTCCTTTTTGCTGTTGTTTCTTAATTTGTAGCTTTTTAAATTAACTCTGAAACATCCTCACCAAGATGTTTCATTAACTCCTACACCTTGTTTTCCAAACTCGGTGTTTTTAAATAGATCTTGGCAGAGTATATATTTTCATTTTAATCCTCAAAGTATCTGCAGCAATAGCAATTCAAGCCCCCCTGTATAAAGGTCAACAAAAACCATAGATGTTTTGTTAGTATGACTCACCTTGCCGTGGATTTGCCCTCCTCAGTTACTTAGCTGAGTTATAAGGACACAAGAATAGAACACTATGCCCAGAATCGATATGACCTGCCTGATAGATGTTTTATAGCACCTTTATTAGTTCTGCCCCTGATAATAATAGTTATAAGTGGTTTTGTTTCCCCTTTTTATTTAAAAGTTTGCCATGTATTTATAAATCATTATTTCTCACTTTTCCTATCCTCCTCCCTTCAATTCCCCATGTAATGAAATTATTAGAGGTGGAGCATGGGGGTGATCTTAGAGAAAAAAAAGGCGTTTGCTCACTTTGCGATGAATCAGCCTTGGATCCCCACTGCGTGAGAAGTGCGCTGGCCATGCCATCAGAAGCAGCTGCAAGGGCATTGAAAATGAATCTTATCTCTGGGTGCACTTTTTGACTTAGAGGCGGTTCTTCTTTACTGTTTCATCATCACAGCTGTAATGGTTACAAACTCACAGGCAGTTTGCTTTATTGGGGGATGGCAACAGTTTCTCTAAGCACATGTCCAGGAGCATTTGTGAGAGCAATTATGGACAAGTCTCTGCAGCAACTCCCAAATGAATGAAATGAAAGGATCTCTCTTGTCCAGATAGCCACTATCTGATAACGGTCTCGTCTGCATGTTCACTCTCTTTCAAGATGATTGGCTCTGCTCAGGAGCTGAGAGTAACATTTATTCTGGGTGACAAGGTCATCAAGTTTTCTGCAGGGACTCTCGAGCATGGCATTTCTAAGTTCTTTAGAGGCCTAATTCAGCTAAGGTACGTATTGCACCCCTGTCACCCACACAGTGCCAGGCAGGTGATACAACACGAAGAATAGGGCATGTGGAATTATTAGGTTTCCCTGCATGCTGAGCTTTAGCCACACTTCCCAATCTGAAGAGAATGCCTTAGCCTTTCTCTTCTTTGCTAGCGGGTCCTGCATTCACAAATGGTTATGTGTACCAGGGTAGGGAGAGTTTCTTAGTGTAATAAATTGCTGGCAGCTGTAGCCTGGCTCGTCCTATACAAATTGTGACAGATAGTGGCGGTTGGGGCTGTGGCACTGCCCAGGACCTCCTCCCTCCTGTCATCTCCCAGTTCTCTGCAGAGCACTTCCACTGACACCTCAGTATGCATTAATTTAAGCAGTAGCTTTTTCCTTTATTGCTCCATTTTTGTCCAGGAATTTTGAGGTGATAGACTAGCAAAGCTAAAGGAAAAAAAAATGTGACCTGGAGTGTCCATGGGTAAGAATAGCACTTATTGTAAAGTGTCTGAGCCAGGTATGAGTCATTGCCTTTGTAAGAGGACCTCCTCTCTTAGCCCGAGGAGCTGAGCGACAATGGCTTGTGAGAAGCCAACGCAGGAGGAAGGGGAGCGGGGGCCAGGAAGCAGCTGCCAGGTGAGATCAGTTCTGTTTGCAAGACAGGAATCCCAAGTACCCTGAATAATATTTCCCAGGAGGCTCCGTGTAGATAATGTGTAAGGACAGTGAGTGGGGTTCTTAAAGTATCTGCTGGAGCAGTTGCCAAAATGAAATAAGATTAATCCTTTTGGATGACTTGAAAAATTGTGATTTTCCCTGGGGAAGGGGAAAGTGGCAGAGGGAACAGAGAGAGAGAGAGATCCATTTTTTTTTTTTTTTTTTTTTTTTTGCTCAGAAGGCACCCAGAAAAGTTGAGATAGAGTATCTGCCTTGGACCTACTCTTTGGCATCCTACACATCTAATTTTAGGTGTAGCATACTTGTCACTATAGAAGCCCTAAAAATAGTTATTAACCATTGCAAGGGCCATAATTTCTGGCTTGAAAGTGTACTTTCACGTTCTCTATATTTCGTATATTCATTTACTCAAGAAATATTTACTGAATGCAGCTATGCACAGTGCTGGGCACTATTAAGGACATAAAGTTAGATCTGGCTCCTACCCTGGATACCATCTTCTTGGATTATATGATCCTTTATCAACTCTATCAATAATAATTTAAAAAGTATGCTCACATTTTTGTCTCCATGTCATATTTCCACTGTAGCCTGAAGGATAATGAGGGCTCTGTATCATTTACTTTTTGTGGCAACAGATTTCTTCTTTAGAATAAACTGTATGTGTCTAAAGATAGTATAATGGAACATGCTGAAAGAATCCTTCAAAATATTTTTTTAAGTAAAATCAAATTTGCCTGTATTCTTGTAGAAGAAAAGGAATCTGGGTTCAGCCAAATAGTATAGGTGAAAATATGAATAGGACAACAGGAAGGATCTCAGGATTCAGTGGCTCCACCTTGGACTCTGGTTATAGAAGCTTACTAAAGGTGTCTATTTCTAGAAATCTATTCCATAGAAATGTGAAATGGAGACCAACACTCATATGAGAGAAAAAGAGTGAAATTCACTATACCTTTACTTTTAATGTTAAACTAATATGGGGATGGTTGACAGAAAAATAACTTTCAAAGGTTGAAATATGTAGTTAATAAAAGGAGTGTTTATTGAGAACTTTTCATAACAGGATATTATGGTAAAATGTTAAGTAAAAACAATAGGTGAATAGATGATAGATAGATATAGATTTTTTTCATAATTTCATTTTTGATCAAAAGACCAAACTGATAGGAGTGGTTATCTCTAAGTGGTAGGTTATTAGTTAGCTATTGCTACAGAACAACCACCCACAAACACCACAGTGGTAAACATTGATAAGCATTTATTTCTTGCCCAAATGTCTGAGTTTTGACTAGACTCTGGCTAAATTTGGCTGGACTCCAGATCACAGAGTGGGGCCATGCATATTCTAAGCATCTGCCATTCACTTGGAACCAATGGCTACCCAAGGAGGATTCTTTTTTTTTTAATTTTATTTATTTATTTATTTATTTATTTATTTATTTATTTATTTATTTATGAGAGAGAGAGAGAGAGAGAGGCAGAGACACAGGTAGAGGGAGAAGCAGGCTCCATGCACCAGGAGCCCGACGTGGGATTCGATCCCGGGTCTCCAGGATCGCGCCCTGGCCAAAGGCAGGTGCCAAACCACTGCGCCACCCAGGGATCCCAGGAGGATTCTTTTTATGGTGATAGCAAAAGTTCAAGAAAGCAAGACAAACTGTGCAAGTCTGTTTCAAGAATCTGCTTAAGTCACATTCACTGACATTCCAGGAATCAAAACAGATTACATGGCCACACCCAGAGTCAAATGGATCCGGTCCACAGTCTACTCCACCCACATGATAAGGCCATGATAAGGGTGTGGATGTGTACAGCTGCTAGAGGGCAGTGATGAATTGGAACCAATGGCTTATCTACTGCAGTGGGATTAATGTATCCCTTAATTTTCTTCTTATGCTCCTATACATGCAAATATTTTATTCTGTATAAATTTAGATAAAAAATAAAGTATTAGAGGCCTACAGATTAGAGGAATAGAACTGAGAGTCCAGAAATAAGCTCTCACATTTACAATTGATGGATTCTTGACAAGAATGCCAAGACAATTCAGTGGAGAAAGAAACAGTCTTTTAAACAAATAGCATGTGAATATACAAGAGAATGGTGTTCAACTCCTACCTCATACCATGTCCAAAAATTAAGTCGAAGGAAGTGATATACTTAAAAGTGAGAACTAAAAAACTATAAAACTCTTTAGAAGAAAATATAGACATAAATCTTAGTGACCTCACATTAGGCAGTGGTTCCTTAAACATGCTCCCAAAACAAAGAAAATGTAGATACGTTGGACTTCAGTAGAATTAAGAGCTTTTGTGCTGCAAAGAAAGAAAGTGAAGACAACCCACTGAATGGAGGAAAATATTTACAAATTACGTATCTGGTACAGGACTTGCAACCAGGAAAAAATGAGGAAGTCTTAGAACTCACCAATGAAAAGACAAATACCCTGAGGAAAAATGGACTCACGATTTGAATGGACATGTCTCCAAAGTAGATGCACCAATAGCCAGGGTATACATGAAAAGGTACTCAACATCATCCATTGGAAAAATGCAAATCAAAACCACAAGGAGATACCTCTTCCCATCCACTAGGATGGTTAAAACAAAAAGACAACAGTGTTGTTGAGAATGTGGAGAAATTAGAACTCTCATAGACTGTTGCTGGGAATGTAAAATGGTACAGATGCTTTGGAAGACAGTCTGGCAGTTTCTTAGAAAGTTAAATATAGAATTACTATATGACTCAGCAATTGCATTCCTAGGCAAATACCCAAAAGAATTGAAGAACTATATCTACATAAAAATTTGTATGTGAATGTTCATAGCAGCATTATTAGTAACAGCCAAAAAATGGAAATAACACAAATGTCTATCAACCAATGATAAAGAATATGTGGTATATCCATGCAATGGAGGGGCACCTGGGCAGCTCAGTCGTTAAGCAATGGACTCTGGGTTTCAGCCCAGGTCATGATCTCAGGGTTGTGAGGTCAAGTTCCATGCTTAGCCGAGAGTCTGCTGGAGATTCTCTCTCTCCCACCCTCTCCCTGGCTCTCTCTCTCTCTTTCTCTCTCAAAAATAAAAATAAAATTAATAAATATCCATTCAATGGAATGTTATTAAGCGATAAAAAAGAAATGAACTACTGATACATGCTAGACATGAATGATCCTTGAAAACCGGAAGCTAAGTGAAAGAAGTCGGTTCACAGAAGACCACATATTTTATGATTCTACTTATATGAAATGTCTAGAATAAGCAAATTCATAGGGATAGTAAGTATATTAGTGATCACTTAGGGTTGGGAAGGAGGAGTGTGGGCAAAGTGAGAAGTGACTGCCAATGGTGGTGGGGTTTCTTAGGGGGTAATTAAAATGTCTGGATTGTGGTGATGATTGCCAACTCGGTGACTTAGCTTAAAACCACTTGATATAGGAGAAGTTTATGATAATACATCTCAATAAAACTGTTAATTAAAAAAAAAGATGTCTTAACAGGATTTAAATAGAATCCTAGGTAGTTATTAGAACAATTCCAGCATAAAATCAATGTGTAGGTTTACCATGCATAGCTAAAATTAAAAGCATATCTTTATTCAATAAAGAATCTCAGTAGCTTAGGAATCTTGTGTTGTTAGTAATCATTTTTTTTACTATTGCTTTTATTATTTTTTCACTTGTATTGAGATATAGCTGACATATAATGTGATATAAGTTGATGTATAACATAATGGTTTGTTGTAAGTACATATTACAAAATAATTTTGCAAGGACCAATTCTTTGCTTGCAAAGCCAGATACAAAAAAATCAACCAGAATATGGAAACAAATGAACTATGCAATTAAGCTTACTTTATTCATATAAATTAGTATTCTATTTCAGTCAGGAAATAACTTACCTCATGCCTGGGGCTGTCA